GAGGGGCAGGCCCCGGAGGAGAGGGGCAGGCCCCGGAGGAGAGGGGCAGGCCCCGGAGGCCATCTTTGAACCAGCAAACTGTTTTTTTCCACCATGGAGTATCCTGTTGGTGGAGAATCAGTTTTGTTTTGGTGGCTCCTCAGATTGAAGAAGTCTGTTGTATGACGGACGAAACGTCTCAGCAAAAATTAAATAAAATAAACCATCCAGATGACCTGACTGAACATTGTTGGATTATCCTGGATATTTCCTTAAAAAAAAACAAAGTATTTAAGATGAAGAAAAAACAATCTCGTTATTTTACTTTATTCTGTACACACACAGATATAGTACAATGTAATTACTGTGCTGGATCCTAAACAAACTATAGAAATAAAAGTACTCAGTTCTCAAATTGCACATAAACATTGTTTCTGGAATAGGACCAAAACTTGGATACTGCTGTGCACGTAAACACATTCAGACAACAGAAAACTTGCAGTCAGAGCACTGAAGAGGTTTTTATGAACAGCCAAACAGTTTTACTGATTAACAAATACAATTATGAAAAAAAGAAGGGTGTCAGACACAGACACAGGAGTTGAGTACAACTTATTTGTACCAACATTTGGAATTTGCAGCTGTTTGTGAAATTACCTGCAGCAGTACAAAAGAAGATGTGAACGGTAAACATTGCATTGACATTCATGTCCGTGAGTGCATGGATATTTAACCGCAAGTGAAAGAAATGGAATGGAAGCAAACTGATGATATGAACTTTCTGTGTATTTTGTCTTTTTTATTGTAGGATGCATTTTTCGTTTGTGTATTTGTGTGATATCAGACTGTGTTGTCATGTTTCAAAAACAGCAGGACTGTATGATGCACTGTACTAATTTATTATTTCATAACTTGTAAGTAATAAATTATATTTATTGATAGATATGTCATCAGTACAGTTGTTTAGTTATTCAGGCTGAACTCTTGTTAGGATTATAAGTAAAGGCTTCATGTATGAAGAGTTAAATTAAAACAAGCACAGGTTCTGAAACAAGATTAGATTTGATAAATTACAGTTGTTGTTTTTTTTACTGCCAGTGGGATTTATGAACTAAACTGAATACCCTACAGTGTTAATACTGTGGCAATTTTTAAATAAAATAAAAAACATTTGTGAAAAACGGAAACGTTATAAACAAATTTTTTTTCAAGTGTGAACATTTGGTTCTCTCACCACTACCATTTAAGAAAAATAGTTGTTGTCTTTTGTAAAAAAACAAAACAAAACAAAAAAACACTAGAAGTGTGGCGGTATGGCTTTTCAATACATTTGGATATGTAAAAAAAACAACAATAAATAAACAAAACCACTGACGCTTAAAAAAATTAGGATTTATAAAACAGTCTTTTGGCAGAGGAGGAGTTATCCACAATCATTGCGTCGTCGTGAGGAGACGAGAACCTGCAAAACAGATCATTTATTTGTTTGCACCTGCTGAATACTTAACGTGAAAAAGTTCATGTTTCTTTTCTTACCTTTGACCTCCCTGAGGCAGACCTGTTCACACTCTTCCTGCTGGAGGAAGCGATTGTCGTTTCCTTTACAGCCGCCGTAGACGAACGGCTTGCAGGCTCCAGAGTGACTGTTGAAGTACCAGCGCAGGGTGTATCGGTGGCAGTCGCCCTCATCCATGGGCAGCAGGCATACGTCTGTTGAACCTAAAGTAAATATACATGTGTCAAAAGGCTAAACACGAGCAGAGTGGCTACAGAGGAGTCAACACAAGCATGCAGGTCAGTCTATTTCAATTACATTTCATACAAAGTATCTCAATAGTGTAAAAATTAACTTTTACATTACTGGATGCATGCCTTTAATAGAAATAAACATATTAATTAAATCTGTTAAGACTTCAGCAGTGCAGTCTGTCACATGCTGACACCAGACCAGCAGGAAGCCAGAACAACCATGAATGACTCTTAAAAATGAAAATCACAACTCATCGCAGTTTACCTTCCCCTTTGACGGTCCTCTTGGACCTGACTGATCCGGACTTGTCTGCAGTCAGAGGTGCAACTTGCTCCGTTTTCTCATCAGCTGTTGCCTTTGTCTGAACGTCAGCGATTGCAGATTTATCTGCGTCGACGTTACCGTTCTTCTCAGAGTCCTTGTAATCCTCACCTGAAGGTGGACAGAAACACAACCAACTAGTCGCACGGCAAATGAGCTGTAAGAACTATGAGAAGCAGATCAAAGCAGGAGTTTAGGATTTGATCGACAAAATAATTATACGTTAATGACAGTTTTAAAAGAGCAAATACATGTTTTCAAGGCAATTTATTTGATTCTTCAACCCAAAAGTTCCTAAAGCAACTCAAGCTGTGATTGATAAAGCACCATCAGACTCGTTGGCTGCCTGTGTGGAGAAGTAGAGCAGGTCGTCCACAGGGTCATCCAGGGCCTCGATGGAGTAGATGTGTTCGTAGTCTGGATCGTTGGTGTTCAGCACCACTCGCAGCTCACGACCTGCAACGAGCGTTACATCACACTCATCACAATCCTTCACGCAACTCTGAACCTCTCCAACTTTCCTTCACACAGATTGAAGATCTTCATAGTCTCATGAGAGAGCTCCAACCATTTCAGGTTGCATTTTCCTCTCTCTCACACACACTCACACACACATGGTTCTTCACTATGACCAAGAAAGTTCACAAGTAATTTGTTGCTTGAATTTTAACATAAAACGTTTAGAATAAAAACTTATATTTCATGCACTCATTGATCCCAGAGATTTTAAGACTTTGTACGGAACCTGCACAGAATAAAATGTGGGCATACCTCAAGTCCATCTTCTGGTTGATGGCTCATATCAGGGTGAGAATAAAGTCCTAGAAGTCATGCAGTCTATAAAGTATCTCCACAATCTCAGGAAATTTTTGGGCCGTTTCATCAGATATCACAGGATAAATAAATAAATAAAGATCTTGACAATTTGCACTTTCAGAATGACTGATATTGGTGAAGTACCTGGACATTCAAACATTTACATTAAGAGTGACATGATGAATACTGCAAAGAACAATTTGTCTTTGGCTGACCTCGTTCAAATTACGTATTTCTGGAAAAACAAATGGAAAAATACTATCAAAATAAAAGTTCTCTAAGGTAATAGGGTCATTCTCATGAACAAATGATATTTCAGTCAAGATACAGTAGTCCCTCGTTACTTCGCGGTTTGACTTTTGCGGACTCGCTCTTTTGTGGTTTTTTTTTCAAAGTAAGATTGTACACGACGCACGATTGTCAATTTTAATATTACTCACGTGATTGGGACAATACGGGATACAGTAAAACATTAATGACAAATTAAAATACTTCGGACAGGTGCCGCCATTTTGAAGTTTTCTCTCAATAAGCCTAAACTGTATCGCCACTCCAAAGGACTACGTTACCCAGAAGCCAACAGTGCTTCCAGCCTTTGCTTTCTGCTGAAATGGAAGGAAAGTTTTGATCCAATCCAACAAAGTTTGGTCCTTATTCATAGTGACTTCAAGGCTCAGTGAATGCAGAGAGCCATACAGAACCGACTGGGAATTGGACCAGAACCGGACTTCCAGCCTAATCGACAATATAATCTGAGAGCTGCCTGCCGGCCCATGAGGCTTCACAAGCAGGGAGGCGTCGCTTGGAGGTCCGGTCTCTTCTCTGGAGCTCACTGGGACTTTTTTCATCCGGATTTGGACTCGACCGAGGCCATTGTGTGGTTTTGTGCTGGCTATCCGAAGGTCCAGCTCTCTCAAAAAGCGACTTGGCGCTCAAGAGCTGCAGAGAGCTGGTCACCGGACCAAAACTGGCAGGATAGGTCTGGCAGGGTAGATCTACCGAACCGGAACTGAGCCGGACCGGAACTGAGCTGCTGTTCTGCAGAGCTGGTGAGTAAAATTTTGCTGTACTGTACAGTACACATACGTATGTTCTTCAAATCACATAGGTTTAAAAGTTTAGAACATTGCAATAGTGTGTGGAGTGTTTCTAAAGCCTTAATGTATATATACTAAAATAAATAGTGTTTCTACTTTGCAATTTTTCACTTAGGTGTCTGGAACGTAAGCAATGAAGGACTACTGCAACCCATTTTTATTATACACTCGTTGAAAGGAGGACATATTATGGTATAGTCTCCGTCCATATCTTCTGATCCGCTCAAGATTATTTCACAAAACTTGATACAAATTTTTCCCACCACTAGACAGCATGTCAACTATTTTTTCATCACCCCAGCTCTAAGGTCAAGGTCACAAGTTATACAAGGTTTTTACTTTGTACTTGTCTGGGCCATTGCTATAGATTGCTGTTGTATAAATTTTTATTGACAGGTGTAAAATGTGCTGCATGTGGTGCTGTTGTTTAAAAAGTAGTTGGCCCAAAGCTTCATAAATTGGACCTAATTTCAGACAGTATATTAAATTCACAAAAAAAAAAAAAAACTGATAAAACTGAAAAGACCTATTCTGCTGGCCATGTGAACTAAAGAACCTCAAAATACAGATTCCTTCACCATCCCTCTGTATTTGTCTTTGGATAAAAGGACAAATACATTTTATGTCAATGGAGCCGTTTTCTTGTTGAGAAAAGCACCCAACGCTCACCCGGTGAATCTGTTTGTTAGAGACGAGCACACAGAGCGCTGGAACAAACACTCACCCTTCAGAGCCAGCAGTTTGTCTGTTGTAGGCCGAGCCCTGAATGCGGGCTGGGACTCAACGTCTGGGTCTGAACCTGAGAGAGCCGGAGAGGAAGGAGAGCAAACATGGGCGCCGAAAGAGCAGAGAAGGTTCAGAGAGCGAAAGGAGCCAGGTAAGCATCAAGTGTTAAACAGAAGATAAGAAATCAAAAGAGCAAAATTACAAGACGACAAAACAATCTGCTGTTTAAAAGTTCGAAAACTTTTAAATATTTTTTATTAATTTTGCAAAAAATATGACAATAACAACCTCATATTTTCACTGTGGTCCAAAAATAATAATAATAATAAAATTAAGAAGAAAATATATGTAGAGAGAATAAAGTGTGTCAATGCTTTGGATACATTTGTTAATTTGAAGGTGAATTTAAATTGATTTTTTTCTAACAGTAGAATTTTTTTTTTGTTTTGCCATATTATAGTGTTTTTTCTTTTGAAGAACAAGAATATTTATCCCGACACAAACTAAGCAGATTTAGTCAAAAACAGTTACTGGTTGTTATCAGATCAGAAATATTTACTGAAATAGTGAAAAAAGGGAAAATGGATTTTCAGATCACAGTATTAGTTTGTGATTTGCATAGATTTTATAATTGGAGGAAGTAAAACACTGCATTGAAGCAAAGGAACCTAAACCCAGTTGTAAAGCACGGTAGTTGTAGTTTCATGGTTGGGATGGATTGTTGTCACTTACAAAATATTATCTGAAGTTTAGCAGAAATTTATGATTAAATATATCAGCACTTTTGTCATTTAACTGAATTTTAATAGCTGGGTCATGCAGTAGGACAGGGGTCTGCAACCTGTGAATCTGGAGCCACAAGTGGCTCTTTGGTTCGTTTACAGTGGCTCTTTCAAGCTTTGACCAAAACTAACATAAAACTGAATTTTATTGGTTGTTATACTAAAATTAAAAAAGGGTCGTTTTAACAGTCTTCCTGTCTTTTTTTTTTAAAGCAAATATGTGAATAGTAGAACAAGACAAAAGTAAACCATATACTGTACATTTATGCTTTATCTCTTCAAAGTAGAATACTTAATTTTTCCACAATACAAAATAAAACCACAGGCCTGCATAGTTCATTGTTTAAAATTTTACAAAATTATTAAAATCTATATATTTTTTCTTTCTTTACAACAATCTTGTCTTTTTTTTTTTTAACTTAAAATGTACAAATATCAAATGTTAAAAACTGGGGCCACCAGTTGATGGTCACGGTTGTACCAGATTGAAGTGGCTCCAGACACTTACCATATTTTTTGGACTATAAGGCGCATTAAGCGAAACAAAACAGTCAGATAAGTCAAACTTTATTCAACTCATTCACAATAACTCTCACCATTGTTCAGTTGTACCACATAAAATCGATTCAAGGTCAGTAAGCACATCCAGAATTAATACTTAAGGCTCACTGTCGATTTTTGAGCAAACTAAAGGATTTTAAGTGTGCCTTATAGTCTGAAAAATACGGTAATTTAGTGAACAAAGGGGCATAGATGGCTCTTTTGATTGTAAAGGTTGCAGACCCCTGCAATAGGACAACACTAAGCCTACAACTATTTCTACCAAAAGATGATTACAGAAGAATACGATAAATGTGTTGGACTGGTCCTGTCAAAGTCCTGATGTAAACATTGTTTTTAGGGAAAACATCCCATGAAGCAGTTCTTTCAGAAAAAAAAGAGCTAAAATCATTTCATGTGTGGCCCAAAACAAAACATTTAATAGCAAGTATTTACCACATAAAAATAAAACAATTTAAAACAATTGTCACATTAGTTGATTGTTTTTATCTTTCTCGGAAAATATGAGGTTTCGGTCATATTCATGCAGAATTATAAAACATTTCTAAATGCTTCTTAAACTTTGAAGCGTCACTGTATAACATTTAGGCACGAGTCAACAACACCCCCCAAAAGCACCACAAAAATCATTCCACCCATTTTGACCCCCCACCCCCCCGCTGAAAGGATTCACCAAACTTTAACAAGCCAGACGAACGTGTAAGTCTTGTAGAGACATGGCTGAAATCCTTTAAAGACTCAAATCACTGCTTTGTGGACTTTGTGTCATTATAGTCAAACATGAAAAAAGACCAAAGAGTAAAACTCATTATTGCGTTTGTAATTAAAACACGGGACTACTTCTTGAATGATGCCGCGTGAATTAAACATGAGTGAAAGTTTGCTTTGGCTACTTTTTCTGTGATTCTGCACATTTATTAGCAGCGTGCCTCAGCATTACTAATCTAACGCTGCTGAAAGTGTCCCTGCAACACAAATCTGCCCCGATGAACAACAAACAGTCCAAACTCTGGAAGATTGGACATTTTGATTGAATTTGCTTTTATTTTATTGTATTTATTTTTTTTTGCTTTAATGTATGGCTTTCACTGTATTTTTTTTTTACTACTTGTGCTTAATGTATTCTCAGTTTAGCATATTTCTTAGTTCACATCTCAGATCTTATTACTGTTGTCTTTACAATTTATACTTTTGTTGGATGTAACTGGGACCCTGTGTACACAATTTCGTTCCACCACATGCACCACGTGTGGTGCGAATGACAAACAAAGAAACAGTAAACATTAAAAAATTTAACATTTGTTATGAAAATGTCATCATCAGAATGGATATGTGGTATGAACTATTTGACTTTATTTACAGAACAACCTATGCAAAAATTATTTTTGGGGGTTTGCTTTACTTAAAACTAGTGCTCAGGTGTGCTAAACATGGGATAATAACGCATTTGAGCGTTCACAAGCGCCTAATGCTGCAGATTCCATAGGTGGCCATAACGCCATAGGTGGTGAAAGCACAACGCTGTGACTCATTCTGATCCACAGCCCTTCTGTCTAGTTTTCCTTTTCTGCTACAGTTGGACGGCTCACTCACCTCCACACGCTGAGGATCAGGTGCACGGACCGAAGGGAATCAGAAAGAGAAGGGAACAATAAAGATCAGAGTCATGACGTTAATATACGTATCCAGAGATGTCTATATAAAAATATGTTTTCCTCCGTCAACTACAGTTGTTCCGATGACTCATGCGTTGTGATCAAAATGAGAAGTTCAACTTGTGGACAGCGTGGTCATAAATAAGCGATGAGCGCTGCAAAAGACTCACCGCAGTGCTGATTCATCTCTGAGCGAACGTACTCTCTGATCTCATCCTCCTGAATTCAAAACAAACAGGAGAACGGGGCAGAAAAATGTTACCAACTGCCCCAATAATGACTCTGAGGACGAGTGTGTGTGTGCCATTTGGTGTCTTCAAACTGGGCGCTGTGGTAATTATTCCGCACTGACCGTCATGCCAGCCTCTCCTTTGTCTCCCTTGGATCCATCTGGCCCGATCTCTCCCTGCAACATGAACAGGCTTTAGAGCGATGCAACCCACAGAGACCTCCATCGAGATAATTCTATAGCGTAAGATGGAGCGCACAGTGTGAACAAATTTAACAACCAAAGTGGAAGGTTAAATAAGTAATGGGGACTTATACACAGACTGTTTGATGCATTCACCTCCAAGTATATAACAAGCTGAATTTAAGCTCTAGAGGTCATGAAGAAAAACAGTGTTCTTTTATACATATATACATTTAAAATCAGCTTTAGGTTCAAATATTTTTTTTACTGTCAAAGCAATGAAGCAATTATAACAAAATTAAGGTTGATGTGCATGTCGAAATATAAAGTTTGGTTGGTTTTTGTGGGCATTACTGGATTTTCCTGCCTTCAGCTTGTCCTGTAATGAGGCCTGGAAAGCAAACCAGAAGAAACTTTTGAGAAACGGGTACAAAACTGACTGGTTCTCCTCGCTCCCCTGGGATTCCTGGGATACCTCGAGGACCGACCATGGCAGGACCGATTGGACCTCTTTCTCCCTGAAACACAAATAAAATATTACAGTTCTCACGGAGCATAACATCACGACTGCTGACAGGTGAGGAGGAAAACATTGATTGTCTCGTTACAAATGAACCGAAAAGTGGGTTGAAAAAATAGGGCAGCGAGTGAATATTTTATCTTTCGGGTTGATTTATTGAAATAGAGAAAATAGACCAGTGTAAGCTTAAGATGGACATCAATAAGGGCGAAGCTGTGATGGATAGTTGCCTCTTCAAAGCTGCAACTCCTGTGAGGTCTGCAGAGGTCAGGATCTGACAGATCTGGTCCAAGAAAAGAACGCAGGTAAACCTGCAACAGAATCATGTTTTGGCCGGGCCTTCTTAATGAACGTGACATACATGCTGTCAGAACTCCCAGTAAACTGCAACTAGATGCTTATGGTGCTGTGAAGTTCGCAGAAAAGTCAGCGTCCCCATAGACATATATAATAGATGCCTCGTTGAGCGGGCTGGCCCGCTGCAACGGCACATCAGAGCGTCCGCTATTTTAAATATGGCGGAACTGCCGGTCATTTAATACAAAGAAATGGACAGAACTTCATAAAGCACCATTCTACAAAGTGATTTAAGTTTATGCCTGTCATTCGCACACACTAATATATTTGGTAAACAAACAGGCACCAAAGACAACATTTGTAACTTTTAACATTAAAAGTTACTGTTCTGCCACATTTAAAATGGAGGCGACGTCGACGTACGATTCAGAGCTGGGGCATCTATGTGTATATGTCAGTGAGCATCACCAGTTGCCTCATTTAAGTGTGTTAGTACCATTCTTTGGTTGTAAAATCATTTAATTAGCACCGTATATTTGTTGGTTTGTCAATAACATTTGAACAAGAGTATTTTCCGCCATATAAGTCGCATCAGTCCAAATATCTCTAATGAAGTGAAAAAAAACCCCCAAATACGTCGCTTCACCATATAAGTCACATCTATTATGCGTCACCACTGACGTGTCCTCCAGGAGTGTGCACAAGAGGACTTCAACAAGAATTTAACAAGATTAACACTTAAAAACAATTATTTGTTTGCTCGACATTAAAGTCAATTTGTGTCTCAGTTGAACTTTTCCTTAATAAATGCACTCTAATGGTCAAATCAGCTGAATTTCGTCTGGGCGGCGCAGCAAAACGCAACTGATTTGATTTTTGCTCCAGGAGTTACGGAGCGAGACGAAGGTGGTTTCTACGGCAAGCCAAGTGTTTCATTAATAGCCACTTTTACCTTTTAATGAGACACTTGGCTTGTCATATTAGTCGAGGGCCCTCTAGTGGCTGAAAATGGTAGTGTTCAATAATTACCATGTCAGAATGAATGAAATCATCAGATCTCAGCCAAAAATTGGTTTGCTGTACAAGTCACAGGCATGCTAATTTATGCAAAAAACTGTGACGTATACACTGGAAAATACATACATGTATTTCCTCATTTATTTTATGACCAAGTAATGCAACTGTATTTACTTACTAAAAATAATCCAACATGCAAAGTACAAACAACCTGATTGTAAACAATTATGGTGTCTCCAGACTAATGAATTAAACAGCCCTGACAGTCATTATGACCCGCTGTGTGTGCTTGTGTAGCCGTCTGGTGCCAAAATATCTCAACAACTGGGCAAGTTTTAATAAAACTCTCAAAAAGTGACTAATAAATGTATATCTATAAATAATTATCTTTTAGAGTAAGCCTTATTCAAAATGGCTGCCACACACAACTGACCCTAAAACACACAAGATAATTTTAACTTGGTCAGTTTTTACAGCTTTAGACATAAAACTTGGTGTGGTAGCTGAGGCTGATGCCCATCACACATTTCTAGTCGTAACGGATTGTAAGATTTTTGCCATTAACGTTTTGAAGTCAACTTTGTTGTTCTGTTAGCAAAATATTTCATGACCCACTGGGCAGATTTTATTGAAACCTTCAGGAATGCATCACTGGATACATCTTTATAGCTGAATAACTTTTGAAGATAAGATCCAGTTTAAGATGGTTGCCACAGCCAGCTGATTTTACAAAACCCAAAATGGCTATAATTCAGTGAGTTTTTCAGACAGTGAGCTAAACATTGGTGTGGTTGCAGCTAAGAGTTTTCCTCATCACCTACTCAGAGCACAGAACACACCAGAACTTTGTTTAAAACTTTTCATGAGGTGGGTGATATGCATTCCTTTAAGGAATGCTAATTTATTTATTAATAAGACTAGTGCTCATATATAAAGACTGAAGACCAATAATGTTTCATGCTATAATGCAAAGATGTCCTCGATGAGAGGAGACTGGATTACAAACAAAAGAAGCTCCATGTGACTCCAGAAGGTAAATATCCCAGAAAGAACATAAACCAGATGTTCAAACTGCAAAGGTATTCATTTAAAAAGCACAACATGGCTAACACTGGTTCAAAACGTGTTTGTTTCACCTCCAGATATAAAAACTCACTTTTCTTTAGTTCCTTTGAAACATTTTTCATCAACTATCAAATGAATCCAGAAGCAAATATGATGCTTTTTTTTTTTTGTGCCCACTGTTCAATTTCTCTTTTTCAGATTATTCTCTAACGGTCTATTTTCTATCCATATTATTTTAAATATAAAAGTTTAATCTGATTTGTTTATTTACCATGATCAATCTTCTCAGCAGATCTCAAGGTCACATGAAAAAACTAGAAATAAAATGCTAAATCATGGCCGTCTCAGTCCAAAAAAATAAAAAAAGAGCATCCATTGACGAGAGTTGACGCAGCCCAACACTCTGTCACCAGATTCCTTTATTTTCTTGATGTTAAAGCAGACAAGCCAGTAACACACAGGCACCTTCAAACTGTCAGTCACCATGAAGCAATACAAAGCAATAAATATAAAAAAGAAAAACAGGAGACAGGTGCAAAAGAACAACAAAGGCAAAGAAAAAAAAATACTATTTATATACGAGTTTAAACACCATACTTCAAATATAAAAATTATAAAAATTGTTGTCACCTCACCACTCGGACACTTTGCTGATATTATCTACGTTTCTTCTGTTGCACAATAATTTTCTTGAACACGTGTGTGCCCAGTGACACTCTTAAAATGTCACATTTTCTCATCTTCTCCATAAATCTCCTTACGCTTATAAATACATTATAAGAGCGAGGTGCAGAATTCATAAAGATGAGTTAGCAGCATTACCTTCTGTCCCTGGAGCCCCTCAGGGCCTTTAGCCCCAGCTGGACCTTGTGGGCCACTCAGGCCGGGAGGCCCATCCGTCCCTCTGGGGCCTGGAGGACCAGGCACACCAGGTGATCCCTGTTGGAAGCACAGACACTTAAGTGAGTTTCACGTTTTAGTGTTTTAAGGATGAGTGATGCTGCAGTGATGATGCAAGAATATGGAGATGAGGCACAGCAGTGTGATTTCATTAGACTGAACTTTGTTTAGATTTGTATGTGTGGCATCACACTGCTGCTGCTGCTGATGATGCTGCTGCTGATGATGCTGCTGCAGAGGCTGAAGTTATCCACTCACCCTTTCGCCTTTTTCTCCTTGAGTTCCTTTGGCTCCAGAGACACCGTCAAACCCACGCTCACCCTAAAATCACAAAGAAAACAAGTTAGTTTGCACATTTAGACTAATTTTCTACAATAACCTGATGCATTCTCAATAATCCAGGTGGAAAAATCTAAAAAAAAAAAAGTTAAATCTGGTCCTCTGGACATTCAAAAAATAAAACAAAGCAAAACATGTTTTTTTTTTGTTTTGGTTGTTGTTGTTTTGCTTTGTTTTGTTTTTTGAATGTCCAGAGGACCAGATTTAACTTTTTTAGATTTCTACAGTAACGTTTTGTACCTTAGGTCCAATTAATCCCTCTTTTCCGGGGCTTCCAGGAGCACCCAGGGGCCCTACATCACCCTGTAAATGACCCAAATAGGACAATTATCTACAACAAATCAATTTAATACACCTCTAGATTCTTATTAGTCTGTAGATATTACTCATACCTGTTCACCTTTCCTGCCAGGTAGGCCTGATCGTCCATGAATACCAGCATCACCCTGAGCATATACACCCAGTTAGTTTTGGTATACCAACACCATCATATCAGTATCACTCTTCATGTCCTACTGGCTGCTTGTTAAAGATTACTCATTTTTACGTCTCCCCAATAATATTTTCTTTATTCTGTCTTACTGAGTCACCTTTTCTCCTTTAGGTCCGCTGGCTCCACAAACCCCCTTGGATCCACGATCACCCTGGAAACACAAAAGCTCATCACTGACAGACATACGACTTTAAGTGGACACAAAAAAGAAAATGCGCCAAAGCAACCAAGCAAAGAGTCCATCCATGCAGACCGTTCTTTTACCTACCACTCAGAAAGCACTTACACCCACCATGAGCATAAAACAACTTGTGCAGCAAGTTTCCATTAACAGCGGGTGAGACGCAGAACTGAAAGCATGAAAATATGACGAGATATACAGCCGCAGAGCTCAGAGGAAACTGCTGAGGGAGAAGATGAGGTTCAGCTTCAATCTACACCCGTAATACTCCTGTCACTTTCAATCACAGAAGTATTTCTTTCACAAGTTTATAGTAAATATGGATGATGATTGCCTGTGATTAGCACATTTACACTTAGTAATAGTTCAAGGTTCAATGCTCTTTATTGTCATTCACATCACATGTGGTACATGAGGTGGATCGAAATTGTGTACACAGGGTCCCAGTTACACCTAAAAAATAGCAAAAGTACGAGTCTGTTGTGAGCAGAAGGTTATGAATATAGCAGCTTAAGGTACGAAATCAGCAGCATGGACAATAAGCAGCACAGATAAAGTGACATCACCAATTAAAGTGGCATTACAGAGATTTTTCAGGTTAGAGATTTGAGTCTAACAAAAAAACAGCTGAGAAAAGAACAATTTTTTATATTCTAAAACTAAATTTGTTTTTTGTTAAATTTAATTAGCAGTCAGTTATCTTAGCTTAGTCTAGCCTAGCACTGAAACTAAACCCTGTTAGACCAGGCTTTTAAAATGCATAAAATCTCCCCTACAAGCGAGAAGGGGTTCTCTGCAGACCAAAAGTGGGCGTTTCTGGCGAATAGGCGTTTATGGGCGGCGAACACTGATTGGCTAACAGTATTTAATAGGCGTTTGTCGGCGGCGAACACTGATTGGCTGTGGGTAACCCTCAAAGTCACGAGTCATTGATGAGGTAACGTTTCTTTGCGATGTTTGACAAAGAAATATGGTTTATTGTACTTATAAAGTATGTTATGTTTTCACTTATGCATTTTATTGAAGTACGTTTATTGTAGGTCACGATAGTTTCGACCGTTCTCTCGTTGTTGTCGTAACGCACTGAGGTAAAGTGAACCTCCACTCGGCTCCTTTTCAAAATAAAAGCTGAAAATAAAAGTTCTTAATACTTGAAAAATAAATATTTAAAAGCTGTGTATAACTGAAAAATATGAAAAACAAATAAATAAAAGTTGTTATTAGCTGAAAAATAAATAAATAAAAGCTGTTAATTATATCTATGTCTTTCTGCCATGTCAGGAACCACTCTCACTTCAGACTGACTCTAGAAGACCCCAAGATGTTGCCCAACAATGTTGACCAACATCTGATGTTGACTTTCATTACTCAATAATGAGTAATAACTTATTCAATAAAAAGTCTGCAATTTGTCAATAATAGTCAATAATTCATTCAAGAATAGATTATGGGTGTTTGGTATGGCTCAGTGGCTAAAATGGGTTGGATGTTAGAGAAATTACTTAATTTTCAATTACCTGAATGCACAAATTCCTTCATTTATAGTTAAACTTTAGGAAATCAACTTTTTTTTTCCTTGTGAAAAAAATATCAAAATTAACTTTAAAATCCAATCCAGGATTAAGTAACAACTAGCAACACCCTAACTGTGCTATGTTCTGTGTTTCCAACAGATGCTACGATGACTTCTAAAAATGGATGTCCCAATAAACACAATAAAAAATTCAATGATGCATCAAATGTTGTCTGAGTATGTTTTAAGATAATAACAAATGTGAAATCTGGAAAACAAAGATAATTCCTGAATCTGTCTTGTGTGCTTTGATGTGTACATAAGTTTATTGGAGGTCCTGAAACAACTTTTCTGAGAACACAAAGATTTTTATTTTACCTTTGGCCAAGATGTCAGTTTGAAATCAGGCTGCTTACTGCAAAACCAAGAGGTTTTTTAAGACGGTCTTCATTTGTATTGTTTTGTCAACTAAGCTAAATGTAATTTCTAAAATATGGATAAATCTGATCTCATCATGCAGCATGAGCAACTGGGTACAGGTGTGAGGGCCAAAAGTCTGGTTATGTACTGACTCCTAAATGTGCTTGTTTTCTACTGAAACATGGAGTAGGGTTGACCTTTAAAATGTGAGACAGCTGATGAAATTAACCAGTAAACAGAAATACCTGCTCCAGTTGCAGAAATCTTACAGAAACTGACAATCACTCATCTGCAGTGACTGCAGGTTGAACAAGACAATGTGAAGTTAAAGGAAACCTCCTTTGTTCCAAGGCCAGTTTAAGTATCATTAATATTTTTCTTTCTTTATGAATCGATTGTAACTTTGTTCACATTTTTCAACAACCAAAATGGAATTTGTTTTTTAATGTTATGGCTAGGTATTAAAAAAAAACAACTAACATTTAGCTCTCCCCACTACCCAGTTATGTTGCTCTTATTTTGAAATGTAACCTGAAGTTCTGTGTTAAGAGAGTCGAAAAAAGAAGTTATGGAGACGCCGCGGCAGTACACTGGAGCAATGTCGAATCGAGACGCCGCTAATGTCGAACCGGTTAACACCATAGACATAATATGCCTGTGGTTAACACAATCTGCCAATAACGCCTTGTTTTTAGACATAATGTGTCTGTGGTTGCGGCATTTTATCGTTCAGCCTTTTTTTCTATCGTCCAATCAGATGTGGTCGGCCAGACACGCCCATTTTTCTATCGTCCAATCAGATGCGGCGGCCAGATACGCCCATTTTCCTATAGTCCAATCAGATATGACCGCCCAGATACGCCTTCAGAATTTTGCTGCAGAGATACCTACTTGCTACAAGCAGCCAAAAATCTATCAGGACATTAGTTTATTTATGTTTTGAAGTTAAAAAGGTCTAAAAACAATAATCCATGAACAACATGTAGGTGAGCACAAGTTGCAGGCACATTTTTATATAAAGTGATATAATCTTATTGTGTGAACGCTTATTAAGCATTCACACCATTGTGATCAACTTCCATACATTTATTGGCGCGTTTCTCGTCTCACAGTTTTCAAGCTATTACAGCAAATGATATATCAGAACGTTCAGCTCTTTCAGGACAATCCTATGACTTTTGGTATCGGTGTAACTTTAGTTTTTTTTTTAATATTTAGCCTTTTCTGTCATTTTTTTAATCATAAAAAATGAATGGAGCTTCTTTTGGCTAACTACAACATTTTTGTGCGTCTTCTAACTTCTTTCTATTCATTCCAACTTGTTATGCTACATTCAGCTTATTTCTGCCAGTTTCATTTTTTTCTGCTATTTCAGCACTATTTAGCTGTTTTCATGCTAATTTTAACTTTTTCAGCTAATTCCACATTTTTTTGCACTCATTTCAACTATTTTAGCCAAATTCAGCAGAAATGTGCTCTCTTCACTTCCTTCTTGGAATTAAAGCTTCTTTATGCCTTTTTAGCTACTTTTTAGCTGTTTTTTGGGCTAATTTCAACCTTTTTCAGATAATTTCCTGCTTTTTGTGCTCATTTGTTATTCTTTCAGCATAATTAAGCAGACATGTTCTTTCTACTTTCTTCTGCTAATTTAAGCTTATCTAGCTTCATCTAGCTTTTTTGCATTGTTTAGCTAATTTCATCTGTTTTCACATATATTCAATTTTTTTGTAGTAAATCCTGCTCCTTTCAGCCTTATTAACTTTTGTGTGCTAATTTCAGCTCGTTATGCTCCTTTCAGTTTTTTCCTGCTAGTTTAAGGTTTTTCTAATATTTCAGCTACTATTTAGCTGCTTTTATGCTAAAATTATCTTTTTTAGCTAATTCCTCTTTTTTAGCTCATTTTAGCTCTTTCTGCTTCTTTCTGGTAGTTTAAGCCTTTTTCTCCTTTTCAGATACTTTTCAGCTGTTTCTCGCTAATTTCCACTTTTTTAGCTAATTTCCTAATTTTTGTGCTCATTCTGCTTATTTATATTTATTTACTCAGCAAATATGTGCTCTTCTTTATTATGCTAATGTTTGCCTGTTCTTCCATTTCAGCTGCATTTCAGCATGTTCTTAGCTAATTTCTAGCTGCTTTACTTCAAATTCTTCAGCAATATAAGCATTCACACTGCATTTTCACAGGAAATGCACCATCTCTAGTTTTTTGTGTGCTTATTTTTTAGGTTGTATTTGTGTTATTTGTTCCATTCACTTGTTTGTTTTTTCTTTTATTTCATTGTGTTTATGTTAACTTTTTTCCCTCCTTGTGTCATTAGCCATCGTCATCCTCCCAGCAGATACATACAGTCCTTCGTTTCTCTCATTCATTGTCAGATTCTAGAGGTCTTAAGATGTCCTTTTGTCTTCCTCAGAGCTTTTGGTTGTGTAGCTTTATGTTTTTAATTAAACTAATGAAATGCAAAGTGTTTAAACTATAAACTGATCCAAAGTTTTACATGCATAAAACATTAAAACAGACAAATCAATGGTGTTTTATATGAGCCATCAGCTGTCCAGGTTTCTAACATCTGCACCAGTCAGTGTAAAACTCCATCAGCCAGCCTCTAATCTGATGGTTACTGTATCGCCCCTCTGCATCTTCATGGGTGTTACTACAGCAGTTAGAAGCTGTTTGATGTGGATTTAATGTGTATTTATTTAGCACATAAAAACAACAAAAGCTGACCCAAGTGATTTAATAATCAAATACAACAACAATAAAAATCAGGTAAAAATGGTTCTCAAACTCTGCATGGATCAAACGCCAAGGAAACAAGATGAGTGTTGAGCAAAGATTTAAAAGTCTCAATTTCCACTTTTGGAGCAGTGACTGCAAAAGCCTGATCACCTCTGGACTTCAGTTTGGATCTGGGGATGTCTAAGAGGAACTGGTTGGTAGACTGGAGTGCTCTTACTGGAGTGTAGATGTTAAGAAATTCACATAAATAAGACGCAGCCAGAGCAATAAAATCTTAAAATCAATCCTGAAGTGGACAGGAAGCCAGTGGAGAGAAACCAGGACAGGGATTATGTGTTCAAATGTTTTAGTTGCTGTTAAAAGACGAGCTGTGGATGGTGTGGCCTGAAGCTCTTTGTTGAGACAGGAACAATGCAAGTGCTGGTAGTTGTCTGGTTGTGATGTTCTTCTGGGGATTCTTATCTTTGTTTGCTGTTTTTATGATAAAAAAGTGTTCAAATGCCAACATCATGTTTAGTCTTCAATGCATGTTGCAGCCTAATAGGCTGGATCATAACCAATATTTCACTTTTTAACTTCTGGTGACCAGTCAATAGATTATTGCACAGTGAGATGTGTTTTTTTATTTATTTATTTGGAGTTGCATCACTGGATTCAGAGCTGATTTTGGACTCCAACTTATTATTTGGAGTTTCCACACCTTCCTTCCAACCCTTCACACCCACTTTGACCTTGATACTTTTAGTGACTGAGACATAAATGTAAATGAATCAATAAAGTGAAGCACTTTGGAAATGCATCTGAGCAAAATTCATATTTTATGTGAGTCATCAGAACACAGGATTTGCATTACATATTCTCCTGTAAAACGATTAGTATTAATCCTCTGAAGTCACAACAATGTTATGCTACTAGCGAGCTGTGTCCGTCATCACCCACATGTGAAAAATTCTGCAAGGTTCCTGTTTCAGTGAACAAACAAGCATAAAAATACCTTGATTCCTCTCAATCCTACAACGCCATCTTCACCTTTGTCCCCTTTACGTCCTGAGAGTCCATCTTTTCCAGGTAAACCCTGACAAAAAACAAAACAGGCAAAAGCGTTGCCTCAGAACCACAAAATAGAAGATAAATTACATACAGAACATGCACACATTTATGCAAACAAAACCAAAAAATCCACACCGATTCTCCAGGCACTCCAGGCCCGCCTGATTCCCCCTGCGGAGAGAAAACAGCATCACAGTAACTACAGCAGGAGCATCGTCTGCTTCGGTGTTCACACTGATACTGTTTTAACCTATGGTGGCCCCGAGGTGTAAATGAACAACAGTTCAAAAAACGGAATTGGATGAAGCCAAACCAGAAGTGGTGTTTTTTTATTGTATTTTTTTACTTTATTAACAACATAAAACAGAACAACAGAACAATGTACAGTACACATACAACAGTTAGCAGGCTAGCCTTTAGCCTGTAGAAATGGAGAGCTATGTTTTGTTCAAGCTTAAAGAAAAAGATAAGTCAGAACAAACTACAGGTGGTTATTGATAGTTAAAAATGACTGCATTTAAATCATGCAACTGATTTATTAAAGTATGATTTGTGGTGACTGGCAGATTAAATCTGAGCACAGATTACAAAGGTTTATCTAAGGACTTGCCCAGTAACAGTTAAAACTGAGGAAACTTGTATTATTTTAGCATATGCTACATCAAATAAAATGGCTAATCGCTGGTACACTGCTAATGTTTTCTAACTAGCACATGCTAGGTTGGTTCGCTCTGGGCAAATCTATTCATTTATAGTTTACAAAATGTGGGTACTCGCCTCATGTTAATTTTATAGTTTAAATGATCATGGTTATGTATACAGTATTACTAATGTCGTGCCAGTAAAAACCAAAGTGTAAAATGTATGTCAACAAAACTTAATTACCTTGAAGATCATGCTGAGTTTTGCAGTGTCATATCTTCTTCTTTAAGCTTGAACAAAACATAGCTCTCCATTTCTACAGGCTAAAGGCTAGCTTGCTAACTGTTCTGTGTGTACTCTTGTTCTGTTTTATGTTGTTAATAAAGTAAAAAAATAAAAAAATAAACTAAAAGAAAACCCCACCACTTCCAGTTTGGTTTATTGTAATTCCATTTTTTCAAATGTGATTCTGGCCACTTCCGCTTCGGCCACTTCCGCTTCGGCCACTTCCGCTTCGGACACTTCCGCTTCGGACACTTCCGCTTCAGCCACTTTCGCTTCGGCCACTTCCGCTTTGATTTAATGTAATTCTGTTTTTTCAAATGTTGTGTTTTTGTTGCATTTTTTGAAATGTTGTTCATTTACACCTCAGGATCACCGTATTAATCACAACCCCCCCCCCCCCCCCCAAAAAAAAAAATTCCTCTACAAAGACTTACTTTCTGTCCACCAGGACCCCGGGCCCCTGGAAATCCAGTGGATCCTCGTTCTCCAGGTTCTCCTCTCTGACCCTGATGACAAACGGATATATGCAGTGAATGTAGACACTGATAATCAATGATGGACTGAGTTATACACAATCACTGCAAGGTCATAAACAACCAAAGTATGTACATTTCTAGTGATTGTTCATTTCACTGAATTGAACAAGGTTAAAAAGTCAAACTCTCTTCCACTGACACAAGACCATCCATCTCCAAACCCTTTACTTCAAAGAAAAAACAAATGATTCAATTCTAGTCAAATCCACCTGCTCTCCTGATGGACCCTCTTGACCTTTAACCCCCTTTTCTCCTTGTGTACCTTTGGGTCCTCTGTCACCCTGAATGAAATGACAGTAAGATCCAACAGAAGTAAATACATGCTATCATAAGCAAATATTTAGGTACAATAACCAGCGTGGTGCATTCACTGACTGTTTCTCCTTTGTTGCCCTTTTCTCCAGCAGGTCCTCCCACCAGCTTAGTGTCTCCCTGTAAGAGACAGCACAAAGGATAAAGAATTTTTTCTCCCCAAGAGAGAAAAATAAAAATGTTTCATCAAGGTACAATTTCTTCTGCTATGATTTTTTTTTTCCACATTACATCTTATCAGTATTCTGTTTATTCATATATTTCTTCTGCTTTCTGCAGAGTGAGTTTGCGGAAAGAAGCTCTCTCAAAAACAGCCCCTGCTGACAATTTTCCAATGACTTTAAATTTGCAAATAAATCAGATGCACTCAAGAAAGTGAATGGCAGTGGAGCTTATCAGATTTTAATGTGCACAAACCTTTTCTCCTTTTTCACCCTGTGGTCCGCTGTCTCCCTGCACAAAATAAAGTAGAGGGAAATGTTTTATTCAAGTATTTCAGTTTAATTCACTACTTTTCATGTGCATAATACTCAGGGGATGAGCTACATGATGACAAATAAAAATGTGGAAGAGAATGGTAATATTTACCTTTTCTCCCCGAGTGCCTCGAACCCCTGAGGGTCCCTGATGGACACACACAAACACAACACGTTCATGTGCTGTGATTGACTACAACATGCATGTTCTTACCACTAAGCAACTTTTTCCTGATTAGACAACAAATGACAGGAAATTAAATAAAAATAACAACGTTATGACTCGGCTACAAGGTGAACAGTGGTTAGAGCTGTCGCCCAGTGCTTAATTTGTAAAAAAAAAAAAAAAAAACTATGTCAAAATGCAAAGAACTGGGGGGTCCTGGGGTCCTCCACCAGAAAATTTGGAAAAAGTAGATGCCATTTCCTGCATTCTGATGTATTTTCACAGGTTGTTAAACATCTACATTAACCTACATAAGTAAACACTTGATTCAGTAACTATTTTAGAGAGCTCTCCTTGAGCACGCTTCGCTTCTCTCAAGCATCCTACCCCCCTGCCCCCCAACACGCATGGAGTACTATCTTCATTGCACTGCCTTCATGTGCTTCAATTCTCAGTTATTTAGTTGTACAATGAGAAGACTTTTTAAATGAAAGTATATTGGACTGTCCAACAATTTTCAGTCAGGTCATCTGGCCAGTTTCTTTTTTCTTTTTCTTTTTGTGCTGAAATGTTTCACCTTCCATCCAGAAGGACGACTGAAAATTGTTGGATTGTATATCTGGATTATTGAGCATGGACTTTGTTGGTTTTGAACCAGTTTGACATGACTGTTGACGAGGAAGAGGGCTGGCACCGGAGGAGGGGGCGTGCCAAAGAGACCATCTTAGCACCAACATAACTGGTTTGTTCCACTCTGGAGTAAGCTGTTGAGGGAAGAATCAGTTTTGTGTTGTGTTTCCTTGGCTGATGAAGCCTTCTGGATGGAAGGTGAAACATTTCAGCACACACACACAAAAAAAAGAAACTGTCCAGATGGCCTGACTGAAAATTGTTGGATTGTATACCTAGATTATTTAGCATAGATTTTGTTATATTGGACTGTCTTTTCAACATTTCGATCGCAATTGGTGCCACTGTTTTGATCCGTGACGTACGTCATGTGATTGCCCATCAAACATTTTTCTCGTATTTTTAATAAATTATTAACATTTTCTTAATGACCCACTTAAATAGCAAAACTACAATTTAGTTGTGTTGTTTAATTATATTTTTGCGTTTTTAATTAAACTGCCCATGACTTGGAGCTAAATAAATAAACTGAATTGAATGACTGTAATTTTAGGGGTGGAGATTTTTTTTAAGGGTAGAAGCGGAAATGCTTACTTGAAGGGGCAGCTCTAATGTAATATTAAAGGCTTCCACATACTCGGGAATAATGTGTGTACTCCGTGAATTGCGTGGACTCCACGCGTACTGTCCGCAGACAGTTGAGACTTCATACTTGAGCGTACACCATGATGGGCTGCAACCCAGCTTTGCAGATGAGGGACAAATTGAGGTTGCCGATTGGTCATTTGCTGACACGCCTACTGGATTGATTGACAGGGCGCAAAAAAAAAAAAAACGACAGGAACCGGCATCCCTGGGTAGAGGCAGGACAGCCCATGAGCAGCGGTGTTCTGTGTTGATATGTTGCTAATAAAAAGTTCTAAAAAAAAATAAAAAAAACAACAACAGGCCCTGCAGCCCGCACATCAGACCAGCCCACAGGGAAATTTCCAGACCCTCCTGCAGCCAGGCCGGGCCTGGGTTTTATTATTTCGTGAAAATTTCTTAATTTTTCACCATTTCAATCATGGCGTCAATGGATGAGAAGGGAGAGCTTGCATGCCTCTTGGCAAAAAAACAAAAAAAACAAAAGAAAAGGCCATTAAACCAGACCAGGAATTAAGAAGGGGAATTTAATACATTGGTGAAAGACGTGAAGACGATAGACAGCGATAAACATTTGGAATATTTTCAAATGAATTCTAGCAAGTTCAATGAGCTAGTTGAGCGCTAAAGCCCTGTTTCTTCACCACCTGGGCAACCACCGCACATCTGTCAGTGCTGCACAGAGAGAGGCAGTCGCACTGCGTATCCTTGCGACTGGTTGCTCGGAAAACAAAGAGTGGTTGGTGTTGCGTGTAAAACAGTCAGTTTCCGGGCAGTTTATTGTGCGACACCGAGTACACGTAGAGAGTCATAAAAATAGATATTTGCACGGACATGACTGGCAGACGCCTGCTTCGAGTCCACCTGTAGTACACGAGAAACCTCTGCGAAGTTAAGTACGCCCAAGTATGTGGGGGTCTTTAGATGCTCGCAAGTGGCTGTTATGTTTAAAATGAGTGTTTATATAATTATTATCAGATTACATATCCAATATAGGTTTAATTCATTCAAGGCAGTCAAATGTCTTCATAACTTTATATTAGTAAGTCTGAGAAATACCAGATCCAAACAAACAGTTACCTATCAAACGCACCCTGTCAAAATAAGAGAGTTACCAGATCCTGTTCCAGCAGGATCCGGCTCAAATTAAGCCCTGCTGTCACCTTTTAGCCAGAAAGTCACAGGTTGGCCTCAGATCATGGCCTTTCTGGACAGAGTTTGCATGTTCTGCCCATTCATGCATGAGTTTTCTCCAGGTACTCCGGTTTCCTCCCACAGACCGAAAACATGCATGTTAGGCTGACTGGTAACTCTAAATTGTCTCTAGGTGTGAGTGAGAGAGTGAATGGTTGTTTGTCTCGTTTGTCTTTCTGTTCTCTGTGATGGACTTGTGACCTGTCCAGGGTGGACCTGGTGGAGATAAGACACCAGCTCATAGAAAGGAGAAGCGAGTAAAAGAAAATGGAAGGAGCATCATGACTCATCAAAGGGGAGAGAGCATGTTTGTTAATTCAGGTTTGATTACTTTGATCCTGTTTTAATGGAAAAAAGGGAAAAAGCAATGTGATATGTTTTTGGTCTAGAAAACATTTTGTGTCTTTGTAAGAAAGGCTCTTCTGTATAATCATAAAAGGTGAGCTTGTGTGCTTCCATTAAAACCGTCTTAAGGTTAAAAAAAGAAAGAAAAAGACCTTGAAAGAGAATGCTAAAAGCCCTGTAGTAACAGTAATGTTTATCTGCATTTTGCTGCACAAAAACAAAAAAGCAAAAAGTTTTTGATATTTACAGTTGATCCTCTCTCTCCATCCAACCCAGCTCGCCCGTCCTCGCCCTAAGAGGACCAAATAAAACCAGTGTTAGTTTGTATTATCCAAAGGTGAATTTACTCTGGAGCGTAGGCTCTGTATTATGATTGTATAACCAGCTTCATACTCTGGGCCCTGGATCTCCTCTCTCTCCTCTGGAACCAGGGATGCCTACACCAACATCCCCCTGGCAATAAAAATAATATATACATGCTTAAAAAAAGACATTAATATTTATGAAGCTCGACAGGAACAGTGTGTCAGTCTAGAGAGATACCTTGTCCCCTTTGACTCCATTGGTACCAGGAGAGCCCTAGGAAACAGAATTGGAAAATAAATATGTTAGCCTGTTCCGGTTGTCTTGCTTTTAATTGTTTACATTAAAAAAAATTGAATTGTGTCCAATAATTTTACAGAACTAGAGCACAGTAAACATTAAAGTTTAATACAGAAGCTCTTCAGATATGCTAATGAAAATGTTCTATAATGAGAAGAGGAATTCACAGCCAGTCCTGGAGGTCCAGAAGGACCAGGAGCTCCGGCATTTCCTGGACGGCCTGCAAATCCTTGGAGACCCTGAAAATAAAAGCACAATAGTAACAAATTTTACCAGAGGGATTGTTTAGAAAAACAAAGCATGTAGTTATTTTTATCATCAACAGCTCCACTGACCCTCTCCCCTGAGGGTCCAGGAGGTCCTGGTTGTCCATTTTCTCCTCTTACACCAAGCAGCCCAGGGTCTCCTGCCTTTCCTTGGGGCCCTGGAGGACCAGCTGAGCCAGGAAGGCCTGGATCCCCCTAAAATATAAAAATAGCAGAGATTTAATCCGGGGCTGCATCTGATAAGCCATGGTATCCGAACAGACAGATAAATAACAGTGATAATCCACTGCTGCAACACATAATGTTATTCACCTTCAGACCTGGAGGTCCAACATGGCCAGGTGGGCCTGCTGGGCCTATGCCTTTCTCTCCCTGCAACACACATATAGTCCTTAGTGAACAAGTAAACTGGTTTTAATTCAATCAATTTGGTCAAACATATGACAGAGTCTGACCTTATCTCCTTTAGGCCCAGCAGATCCTTGTTGACCCTGAATACAAATGGAGTTTGTATTAAACAAAAAAATCTTTGAACAACTTTTATGATGACAAATAAGTGCAAAAACACCAACTCTGAACAAAAATAGAAGTTTAACTCTAAATTCTACTTATGTGAATGATAAAAAGCAAAATATTTTAACATCAAAGAGGATTAGAGAAAAGGTAATTGATTTAATACTGATGTATATTTTGTATATATATATATATATATATATATATATATATATATATCCATCATCTTTTACCCACTTCTTCCATTTTGGGTCAAGGGGGTCACCGGTGCCCATGTCCAGTAATCATTGTGCGAGGGGCGGGGGACACCCTGGACAGGTCTCTAGTCCATCACAGGGGCACATAGAGACAAATGAGGCAAACAACCACCCACTCACTCACACCTAGGGACAATTTAGAGTTGCCAATAAGCCTAACATGCATGTTTTTGGTCTGTGGGAGGAAACCAGTGTATCCAGAGAAAACCCATGCATGCATGAAGAGAACATGCAAACTCCACCCAGAAAGGCCCCCAGACCGGGATTTGAACCAGGGACCTGCTCATTAAAATTTGTACAGTATAGCCATTTGTTAAAACGAAGCAAACTATATTTTGGATTTTGATCTGTGTTAACTATCAGTCCAACATGTTTTTAAGATCTAATATTTAAAATCTACGAGTGAGAGCAGACTCACTTTCAATAGATTATAAATCATGGACATAAACTCCCAACTGTCCAGCAGTTTATCAATTTTTTAAAATGTTTTAATTATTATCATTTTGGTTTATTTATTGTGCCTAAATAATTCATGCAGCAATATAACTTCCTTTCAGGAACTATTCACAAAGAGTGAAGGCTGACTTACATCTTCTCCACGCTCTCCAGATTCACCACTCGTTCCCTGTCATGAAAACATGCCGTGACTGTATTATTCTGTAAACATTAGGTGCATGTGCTGTGCACCCTGATGATACTCACTCTGTCTCCCTTAGTGCCAGCAGGACCTTTTTCTCCTTTATTACCCTGAACGACAGAAGTCATACATTCAATTATACAGTGGTAAATGGAAAAGCATTTAACCTGTTGTGTGTTCCGTGGTTTATTTTTGTTTCTGTCGTGTTGCTTGAGGATGCAGAACCCCAAACTCACCTTTTCACCAGGGAGGCCTCGCTCTCCAGCTACGCCCGGTAGTGTTACACCAGGTGGGCCCTGCATCAGGCAGGATCAGATAAGCACTATTAGCTCCAGTGAGCAGCTGATCTGCTTTATTGTCAAAGAAGCAGCTTACATACAGCTACTGTTAGGCTGATAACTCACCATCTCTCCTTTAGATCCAGGGGGTCCAGCTACAGCCTGAAAAAAACAAAAAATAATGGGTTATTACTTTAGCTGAATAATGTGTGTTATTGTTAATGAAAAGTAAATGTATACCTAAACCCACTGAGTGCTTTGTCATTATTTTCTCAAGCTCTTTCTCTTTATGTCTTCAAGGATGGTCAATAAAAGTACTCTCATGGCTAATCTTTGCTCTACAAAGAGTCACAGAATTGGAAAAGTGGCACTTTGCAGCCAAAGTTCTTTCTCTACACGTCTTTCGTAATGATAGTCTATCATTAAGTTACTGTACTCAACAGTATGTGCAAAATGCACTTAGCTTTGATGAATCTTGTTATTGTAAGACGATCACTTATTCAGCACATTGAATCTGTATTTCAGTCCATTCCAACATAACCGTTTTCAGTTTGTCAACAGTTGTACAATTATAAGAATGTCTTTGTTCTACTGGTGTTGTGCACACATATTATTTGTGTTGACACCATTAAATTGTTTATAGATTTGTTGTACTTTCTTTCCCATTAACTGTGGAAGATTAAAAAGTCTCCACAATAAAGATGCAACAACTATTTCCGTCTTTTGTGAGAGAAATAGGAGGAAAAAACCACCAGAGTTCATGCTCAATAATCCAGGTATAAAATCCAACAATGTTCAGTTAGGTCATCTGGACGGTTTCTTTTTTTTTTCTGAGACATTTTGTTCTTCATCCGAAGGACTTCTTCAGCCTGAGGATTCACCAAACAAACAGATTCCCACAAACGGCATACTCCATAGTGGGGAAAAAACAAAACTGTTTGCTGGTGATAAGATGGCCTCCGGGACCACTCTCTCCCCCGTCAACTCCGACAGGGGAAAGAGCGGGCCCCGGAGGCCATCTTAGCACCTGCAAACTGGTTTATCCACTATGTGGTATGTGGTTTGTGGGACTCTGTTTGTTTGATGCCTCCTCAGGCTGAAGAAGTCCTTCGGATGAAGGACAAAACGTCCTAGCAAACAAAGAAACTGTCCAGATGACCTGACTGAACATTGTTGGAGGGAAAAAACATTTATATAAAAAAGTTGTACACTATGGTACTTGTATTGAGTCAAGTCTTTTGAAACAATATGTTTTTCTTTTTTTATCCTAGAGCATTTATATATATATATACCTTTCTGATGAGAGTTATATATATATATATATATATATATATATATATATATATATATATATCTCTGCAGATATATGTGGTTTCAAAGATGTTGGTTTGATTTCAGGTCCAGCCTTTAACTGAGACACTTAAGGATGTTTACAAAGTTTCTTCAAACCTTTGAAGTTTTTGTTGGACTTTAATATATCCTCTGTGGATTACAACTTTAAAAATTTGGCAAAACAAGAAGAAAAACAAGAAATTTACCTTAAAACGTACAATTTCTAAAGAACCTCTATGTCACAATTTTATTAAGACATCATTTTAAGGTATCCAACTATTATTTTGTTTCTTGGTGTCTTGTTGTTGTTAACCTGCTTTATTTTAAGCTACACAAACTGCCACATAATAAAGCTGAGCTGAATTTTTTGTGGCCACACTTTTGTTTTTGAGCTGCATTTTTCAAATAGTTTTCGTTTTGAGACACATTTTTATTTTAATATGTGGTAATACACTTAAGTGTAAGCATGTGATGGGTTCAGGCTTCCACATTTTACTATACAGCTTTGACCTGTCTTTGATCTCCAAACAGTTTTGCACCTTCTTGCACGTTCCCAAAATATCTGACATGTGGACCAGGCCAAAAAAGACGAGCCTCAGAAGAGATCTGAGGGAGAGTGATTTGCATGTGAGTTCAGCTCCCAGAAAAGGAGCAGCTCACTGTGGTTTAAAAAAAACTGACGAAAAACAAAACACTTTTTATAGCTTGAACTGAGAAATTTCAATGAGAAGCAAAACATCTTGTCAAAAATCATTCCAGTCCAGTTGCATTCAACTAAACTTGTGTCAGGTTTAGTTAGAAAAGCACTTCAGGTTACTTAAGATGTATTAATAGAAAATAAACACAAGTCAGTGTCTTGTGTGTGAGATAAACAAACTGCAAGCGGATGCTGAGCAGATGCAGAAGAGTTGCCTGGTCATTCATCAAACTGTTGGACTCGCTGACAGCATCAGCGTGCCTCTCCTCAAGGTGCTGAACCTGAGGTTGTAAACGGTGGGGGAGCTTGTTGAGAGTCATGTCAATATTACAAACAGCAGCAGGACCTCTGGTGAATAACAACATCCTCACGAGGCAAGCGCCGCGTTCCCGAGTTAGAAAGCAAAACTAAAACACGAAAGAAAGGAACGTTCTAAAGTGTTGAGCAGATTAAATTATCTAACAGATACATTGAAAGTGTTGAGTTTCTTCAGTCAAAGTTGTTGAAACAAAGAGTTGATCCAATGCAGTGTTAGGCAACTTGTTCCAGGTTTTCTCACATAAAATGTTACAGGAAGACCCAATTTTCAAACAGGGAAAAAGACGAGTACTTGCTATAAAACTGATCAGATTTTATCCCTAAACACAAAACTACTTCAGTTTACCGACTTCTATACTGCCCAAACCAGAGCTGACTCTTCAGTTCTGTTTGTAAATCACAGTGGAATAAATTATTGCTGCAAATCTCGGAGTTTTCACATCAATAATGGAATCAAACTAGGGTCCTCGTTATAACCCTGTGCACGGCGTGATCGCGTTTTAGGTATTTATTACAACAAATTCATTATCTTACGAGGGAGACTGTCATGTGATCTCAACATTGGCGGTGAAATAAAAAAAGCTAGTACATTAGTCCCTCGTTACTTTGCGGTTCGACTTTCGCGGACTCGCTCTTTTGCAAAGTAAGATTGGACATGACACACAATTGGCTGATTGATGGATGAGCCGCACGATCGGCATGGATTTTTAAATTTAAAATAAATTATTTTAAATGATTTAGCAACTGCTGCACCTGCGTGAAGTCCACAGGTGCAGGGAGAATAAGTAT